ATTTTATTTTATTTTATTTATTTATTTTTTTTTTTGAATCTTTTATCTTGCACTGCCAACGCCTAGTTTGGTATTGTACGTCCATATCTTTCTGTAGCTTCTTTCCGACGCCATAATCGTGCAATAAGTTTGCACACCCAGAAACAGTAAATGCTAACGAAATTTCCTATAATCTTTGCACGCTTGTCAGAGCATTTTAAACAAAACTTTCCTTGTCTTCCTCCTGTACAAGTTTCCCTTTACACTTTTTAAAATAATAGCTTCCATGCTTTATTTTTAGTTCGAGAGTGAATTGTAATCACAGTTCGCGCAAAACCGTCATGCAAATATAACGAAAACGTTTTCCGCTTGGAGTCGTTTTCCGCTTTGAGTGGTTTATGAGTGCGTGCCTCTCACAACTGTATATCAGACTGTGAAGGCCTGGCTCTTTTGACTTGGGGACTTTAGAATGGGAAGCCGAGGAGAAGAGTAAAGAAAGGATGAAAAAAGAAAAGGAAAGGTTTCACCTCTTTCTCCTTCTAATCTCCTGATATTATTCACAGACAAGAGAATATTAACTACTTCATACTCTCTTGTCACAGATCAGTAATAGACCCAAAAAATGAGGATAACAAAAGAAAACAATTAGGAGCAGTCGAGATAATTTTGCAGTGAATACATTTTTATGTGTGGTGGTTGTTGTCTGGCCTTTTTACTCAATACTTACAAGTTTTTTTGGCTATTTTGTGTCGCTAATACGGTTTTATATGCTCAGAATTATTAGCCATTCCGAGGATGAAGAAAAATACTGGGTCGAGTTGGTATTGCAGTGCATTGTGGGACTTTTAAGGGAACAAAATAGACGTAGAAATGTCTCCCCTAAAACAGCCGCGCAATGCAATGCTAATACCAGACCAGTTTTTTCCCCAACCTCGGAATGGCTAAAGGAGAATCGTGTTACAAGTACTTAGCAGCGTGCGCGGCGTGGTGAATAGCAAGCAAGCATTTCGTGGGTGGAGCCAAAAATACTCTAATCTTTAAACTGAAATCAAATTGAAAATGGCCTTGGCTAGTCTGTCATAAGTATATTTTGTCATTACCAAGGACTTACTAGCCCCTCTAAGCCTCTGATGAGGCATCTCTATCAGAGAAGTTTAGATGTCTAGTAACAAAATAAAAAAAGGAAAAGGATTGCACTAATCTGAATCAGCAAAGATTTTCAAAGATTTTGATAAAATATAATCAGATTTTCATGAACATATTCGTACACTGATATGCGCCTCATTCACCGTCATTACTAAGTTGCTGTGTTTCTGATCCAGTATTACATGGAGAAGTGCAAGATGAAAAGTTGGTACGAAAAAACATCAGTAACATGTATTCTCGTGAAGAGAGGGTGTACACTGTTAAGATCAAGGAGATATTCAGAGGTTTGGAGCGAATAAAGAACATATCCAATGATCATAATACCTCATATGTGGAGATATACACCGAGCCACATGATGGCTCTTGTGGAATTACCCTGCTGCTGAAGCACAGCTATGTCATTTCAGGTATGTTAAGGTGACTCCAACATATGAATTGCGAGAGAATTAGCGATCATTTTAACTCGCTTGAATCGCGTCAAAAATACTCCTCTTTACAACATGGCCGCCGTGTCTTTTGTTATTTAATTCTCTTGGGAATAGTTGAAAACCATCAATAATAGTTACAAGTCGAGGTTAGAGTTGCTGCGCATAATACAACTATAGTTTATCTAGCATGAGTGGCAACTGCAACTTCGTCTTGGAACTATTATTTGTGGTCACGAATAAGCGGAACTGTGTTGTAATCGAACGGGACCAGATTTACAGGGGAGTGGTAGAGGTTAACTATGCAGGTAACTACCATCTCTAAAAGTAAAATCCTGTCTTCAAATATCTCTAAAAATAAAAGTCAACTCGAACTAGCTAGTATACTCACTGGATTAGTTTTCGTATACGTGTATGAATCAAATCATAGAAATGAATGTAATGTCTGTCTGCGTGTATAATACTAAACGAAGTATTCGTGTACACCTAATTGAAAAAACGTAGTCGGGTTCGAGAAGGTCATATCATCAAAGCTGAGACCGAAAAGGATTGTGGGTACTCCGAAATGTGTATTATATTTGCATATAGACACGTAAAAATGCACAGTACAGCAAATTCGGTCGACCTAGATTAACATTCCAAAGCCATTCTCCGAAGATTTATACGCTGGAGAGCTGTTTGGCTGCGGTATTTTGTCTTCCCATGCTCCCCTTCGGTCTTAGCTTTGATGATATAACCTTTTTTTGGACCCGACAACGTTTTTTCAATTAGGTGTATATAGACATAGTCGCTCATGACGGACACATTGAAACAGGTCTCTGAGGCGCAAAGGGTATTTACCTGTACCGACTATCTAAAATGGACTATTGTCTTAACCAATCTGCTATAATTATTCGATTGCACGTTACGTCATCGCGGGAATGTTGGTGCCATTTAATAAAAGATTTCTTATTAGCATCTATTGTTAACGGCATCACAATGGCCGCCATTTTTTGTCTTTTGACTCTCCTGGGAATGCTTGCAACCCATCAATACTTCATGCAAGAATTCAAGTATATAGTAATCGTAAACTGAGTGCGGTTTTTATCTACAGGAACAGTTGATCGTCAAAACAGAATGAGTTCGTATTTATGTCTCGACTGGCAATCAACTTGGGAGAAAGTACCACAATCTTACAAAGAGTTCTTTCCGAAGCTAAAAACCTGTTCAGCTAACACCAACGTTGGTAAATTCTTCTTTCTAATATTCATGCTGCTAACAGCATTGACCATGAATTGATCACGGAAACGTTAGTGGATTCATGCTACGTACTCTTTGCGCACTTCACATTTTTACCTTAGTTAGCACCAATAAAGACTTAATGTTCTCATAAAGTGAGATTTGCCGATACCGTTTTCTTTTTGTTTTTGCTGTCTATCAAACATACCAAGTCAAAGGGAAAGGAGCCATGTTGACAGATGCATCGTTACTGCGCATGAGCAGATTATTATTTTTTCAGATTGTTACTTCTTTGTAAACATAGTATTCTGCAATTTTCTGACCTCCTAGCTGCCTAACTCGATTAGCTTTTCAGCTATTTTAGGTAGCTGTGCTCGTGTTTTTGCAATTTTTGAATTTATGTTTCATGTAATGCTTTCCTCCTTGAGTGCAAATAAACTATTGTTGTTGTTGTTGTATTATTTGCAGCAAGACGGCTTTGCATCAATGCGCATGAGCAGAATATTATTTGCAGGTAGTTATTTGCAGTTGTCTCGGCCAATCAAAACGATCGATGGAAAAAATAATTTGAATGATAATTTTATTTACTTAGCATTTTATCAAGTCTTAGGGCATTTGTAGTTACCACTGAAGAAACGACAAAGCCCTAGGGTAAGTTGTCGGCGAAGACCTAGCACTGAGAACGAGTGTTGTGTTAGCAAGCTCGACGAAGCTCTACCCGATACGATAGTCTCGTTTTGATACTATGTTCAACGCGATACTGCTGGTTCGTTGGAAGCGGTGCGCCTTAACTCCTCTACTATAATAGCTTTTTTGACGAATCAAGATAAAAAAACAAACAAACCATCCAGAGTGTAACCGCTGGTCAAAAACCACAGGCACCTGGATTGACTCACATATCATCATCATCATCATCATCATCATCATAACTTAACATATGTTTAAGTGTCAATGTATTTAGTTTCTACAACTAATTGGGGACACTAAAATGAAAAGAAAAACGAGAAAAAAATATCATAATCATGATATAGTACCAGGATGCTTAGGTTGGTTTTGAAGGAGAATATTAGGATAACAGGCTTTAAAAATCTATGTCACTCATCAGTTTCCTCTCAATTGTGTACAGCCGCTCTGGTTTACAGCTCCTCTGGTTAGAATTAATCTTGTGAGTGGAATTGGTGGTACTTTCGATTGATGGAGTTTATCACGCATGCGCAGCTTCGTAGTTTCGCAAGGTTACAGGGAGTTCAATATACAAAGGTTTTTACTTTCATTCGGGAATAAACATTGCGCTGTACGTGTGGTTAAGGGCCATTACTATTCCACTTGATTTGACATACCTTGAGTATAAACACGTCAATACACCACTCGTAACCATGGCATTGTTAAGATCTTTTGCCGAGAATGGCTAATTAATAACCAACGAAGAAAATAAGTTTATATGAGAGTATTAACATCCACAGGGAGCCCAAAGTAACTATATTTTTACGGCCTCTGGATCTTGAAAGTCAAACAAACTGGCCAATCGAAAATCAATGCCCCATCAGAAAAAATCTGTTAACATTTGGTCAGCTACGATTTCAAGCTCACGCCCCCTCATGTGAGCCCATACAAATTATGTCTCAAAAACACGGTTTTTGGATCTTTTTTGGCAAAATAATGACTATCTAGGCAAAACACAGAAGTGTATTCAGTTAATTCAACTATTCACGGACTGTATTATATGGTTTAGATTGAATTCTATTGAAAAAAAACCACCGTACTTTTTGAGTTGAATGTACGCTATCGGACGTATTTTACAAGAGAAAATGCATGACATAACCAGGGTCAAGCTATTGAAATCGTCTCTCCTTGCTATAAAACAGAACCTGTCAAAAAAAACAGCAGTGGATTTGAAAACCCCGGGCTTCCTGAACATTTTGGTATATAATTCATAGGAATTTATTAAAATTTAGAACCGTATTTTTGCTGATTTTATAAGCTCATACTATCTGTTGGCCTATAACATTCGCCTCTTATGGTTGCTTAGGTTTCGTAGCCTCAAAAACACGCTAACTACTACAGAACTACAGAAGATTTACGGGTTATTTATAATGTTTTGTCACGTAGTTTACTTGTGCTATATAACTTTACCTTTAAGAACAACCTYTTGCTTTGGAAAGAGAGGAAAAAGACCGAAAAGAGCAAATATTCCAAATGTATGGGCAATTTTTTCCAATGTGATTCTAAAGTGGAAGCTTGAGCATGTCGATATACTTGTTGAATGGGGGGGGGGGGGTTTGGTTGTCAGTCTCCCTGAGAGTAACGAAAAATGCTTAACAAGTTAAAACCGAATGCACCTGAATAGAGTCAATTAGCTCATAAAATCAATTGCGATTAGTGAGCGCATGTATACGCGCGCTGTCTAGTAAAGCGTAAGCTCTAGGATGCGATTTGAAATGTTCTTATGCGATTTGAAATGTTTTGAATTAAGCCTGCGCCTTACTTGGACGTAGGACGTCGCTATGGTAGCGCTAATCAGAAACCAATTACTATTTTCTCTACAAACCTACAAATCAGACTTCTTGATCTTTGCTATCGATCGACTCTTTTAATCAGGAAGCGTAACTCAGGATCGATTCTTTCTTAAAAATCCAGATTAAAACGAAAGGAACAGCTTAAAAAACAATTAGTATTTAGAAGTTTTATATTTATCTTGAAGTGAGACAACCACTGTTTTTGTTTTCTTCACTTATTCAGAAAGAAAAAAAACACATTTAAGCACACTTATTCACTTTCTTAATAATAATAATCTTGTACTTATATGGAGCAAACTCGCATGTGAACATGATCAAATGCGTGCGCAACAAAAATCAGACTTTTTTCTTTTTCTTTCTTTTTTTTTTGTTTTTTTGTTTGTTTTTTTTGTTTTTTTGTTTTTGTTTACTGATTTGTTGTCTTATCTATTTATTATTTTTGTTATTTTTATGTATTTTGTATTTGAATGTTTTTATGTATTTTAGCAGAAATAATGTATACATATATTGATCTAAATTGAAATTATCGAAAACCATATCACTGATCCAATTTTGAATCAGCTAATCTAAGCCTAGCTAGAGTTAGCATAGGTCCCAGCATCTTTTCAATCGAGTGTATCGCTTTATTTTCACAATAATAAAGCTTTCTTTTCATGTCGCACTTTCATGGTCTAACAATAAACAAAAAAGACTTGGAATTTTACTATCACGGATGTGAAAACCAAACGACTTTTGTTCCAATTCGTTCCCTCTATCGCTTTTCATTTCCATACCTTTAATTCAAACGACTGCACGTTCTCAAGACCCGGAAACACTTCCGACATTCAAATATCCTTCTAAACCAAAAACAATCTTAATAAAGCCATTCCTTACACACTTTAACTTCTCTAATGGCCGAAAAAGAGTATTTTTAGTTGTTGTTTTAGACAGTTATTAATCCGCTGGGCAAGCCGTTTCCACCAAAATTAATTCAAGAATTAATTCATTAAAGTTCTGACAAACTAATTGCTCACAGTGTCGGCAAGACATTTATCGTTTTGTTTTATAACTTGTCCACTCAGTTAATAATATTTCATTCAATATCAACCTCAGTATTCGATGTTTTTAGTTCTGTCAATTTGGTTTTGTTTTCTCAAGATGGTCACGATAAAATAGAAAATTGACGAAAATCATCTATTATGGAGAAAAGTGTTTCTAACTTAACTTGTTTTGACTAGCCCACCTAAAAACCTTTCAAACAAAAAATTAATCAAAGAAATGGTCTTTTCTGGTCGTTTTAGGCCAAGAAATATCTGATTTAAATAACAGAAGTAGTGTTATAGTGAGATTGTGCATAAAAATATCTTTGGAGATAGGCATCATCAAGTAAGTATGAACTTAGATGATGTCAGTATTCTGCATGAGTCAGTCTGGGGATAAGCAGCCCCACAATAATAATCTTATTGAATGAAAACAGTGGAATGTCTTAAGAGCTCATTTTGATTGTTTTCAATCGTTGTGCTATTGTCAAAACAAGCCTTGAAATGTGAATATGTTTTTCATGCAGTCTTTCACGACTATTTATTCCTATGAAAACATGTTTATTCAATCTATAGAAACTGAAAAGAAAAAAGTGGTGAAGCACAGCTGATATTCAAATTATAAGTATTCCTTTTCAATTATATATCACCAATTTTATTCCTCTTTCTATCAAGGGAAGCACTCTTCATAGCTTCCATTCTGTTCTAGAAATTCTCTTGTTCTTATCTAAGGAAGATCCGGGGAATATTTCGATAGTCAAATATTTATTATTTTACTAAATTGTGTTTTTGTGTCTAATGCTAAGCGGGGTAGTTTTTGGCGATTCACAGACCGCGGGCTTTGTTTTGCAATAAATATATACATTTTATTTTAAGAGTTTTGCTTTTATTTTCATTGCTTTGATGCATGCATGGGTCTCCTGGGAGGTAACAAGACAACTCATTATATAATAGTATACAAAAGACCGGACACACGGTGTCGTCAAAGAATGAACCAAACTGTCTGAACATCCAAGACACGGAAATCTCAATTTAAAATAAAATAAAAATGAGATTTTCAGCATGAACATTCTTATTGAAATAACTGCAAATGATTCAATGAGAGATATTGTTATTCATAAACAGTGCCCAAGGGATTTTCTGCGTCCTTCCTCAGCTTTTCCAACGATGTCAGTCGATTCTGGTAAACTGTTCAACGCTGTGAGACTTGTACGTTTTACTAAAGTCATTCTCTCGCTGCCATTTCTTTCTGAGCGAGAAGGAAGTTGAGGAACTGGGATACAAATCTCTTGTCCATTGTTTTCTTCCATGCTTTCATTTTCTTCCTTTCCATTATCGTTTAGTATCGTTAAGAATTCTTCAAGATCGTAAAGCGAGCTCCCTCCACTCGAATCGTGTCTCGAAAGTCCCGAAGGAGTGCAATTCCCTCGATCCGAAACACTAGATAATCTCCGTCGCAGAGGTGAATCGTCAGAATTGAGTACGCTAAGAAACTCCCCTAGGTCATACAGAGATTTCGCGCCACTAGAGTCGTGTCGTGAGACCGGTGATGGTGGCGCAACTGAACTACGCTCACTGCTAGTACTTTTTGCTGACGATACATTCGAGTGAATCCTTTTCCTAGAAGGATCGTTGAGAATATTTAGCAACTCGCTCAGTTCTGATACAGAACTTCTCTTTCTTGCTAAGGCGCCCTCGACAGGCACAGCTAGAAAAACGTCATCCACGCTACCATTTCCAAACTCATCTTCAGAGACATTTATCATGATAGAAGTCTGAGAAATACTCGATGCTTTTCGGCCGCGACTTTGACTTTGACTTTGAGATTGACTCGCATGCATTGATAAAAATTCCCGTAAGTCATAGATAGAAAGTGAGCGATTTTTCTGTGGTTCGGCACCAGAGAGAGTGTCCGTGTGCTCTTTTCCTGGGTGGTGTTCCATTCCAGGGTGTTCGATTGGTTTACTGGTTTTCTTGTCTTCATCCGTAGCTTGACTACTATTTTGTTTCCCGTCAGTTTCCTTTTGGAGGATACCCAGAAATTCTTGTAAATCGTATATCGATTCTCGTTTGAACTTAAATTTTGATGCAAAATTAGGAGATAAAAGAGGAGTATTTGGTGTGGGTGTTGCCTCTGAATCACAGACCATTGAACCTGTCGTCGGTACGTTCTTAGGTATCCCTAAAAACTCCTCTAGATTATAGACGGAAGCTTTCCTGGTTTCACCTTGTTCAGATCCCGCGTTTACGCGCAATTTAAGCACAGGTTGTGTCTGGCTAGTACCGTCAGTGTTCGTAGTTTCTTCATTTTGACTACCGCGCGATAGAGACAAGAACTCCATTAGATCGTAAGCAGACGGTCTTCGTTGGGTAGATGTGTTTTCGCTGTCTCCAGGACTAAGAAAAGGAGCATTTTCAGTTTGTTTCTGGCCCACAGTAGTATTTTCACTGCCCTTTCCGGGGGGACCTTTAGTTTTGGCTGCAGCAAGATTTAATTGATTCAAAAATTCCAGTAATTCGTAAGTAGATCCCCTTCTGTTCCCAGGCTCGACAAGACGCGGTACTAGAAGAGATTCAGCACCAACTGAGCTGTGTTTGCTTTGTTTACTGTTGGAGGTCACCGATGCGGGCTGCTCACCGAACGAGGACATCTTAAGGAACTCTTGCAGATCATACACGGAAGAAGACCTATTTTCGCGCTTACTCGAGTCAGAAGGGTTCGACGATTTGTCCTCCGTGTTAAGCATCGATAGAATTTGCTGCAGATCGTATAAGGAATCTCTTTTTGTCCTAGATTCTGGTGGCCTTAGAAACCCATCCTTGTTCATCTGATGAGGTCGAAATGAAGAGGTCGCACGACTCGTCAGTCTCTCATTTTTCGGGCACGTTTTACCGTCGACTCTCAAAGCGCTTTCTTTTTTGAGTTCGTCTCTTATGGGTATTTTTTTCCTCGTTGAAACAATTGAAGTCTTTCTTGCACGCTGTGGAGAAAGAATATTGTTTATGTCTCCAAGAGACTGGCGCCCTCCGCGTGGAGATAAATTGTCGTCGCTCATCAAATGCACGACCGGCGTACTAGGGCTACTGTATGGCAAGAAATCCCCTTTCGTGCTTGCTTTGTGTTTATATTCCGTCCTTCTTGCGATTCCCCTTCCTTGACCGTTCCTAGGTGATCTTGGACTTTCTTGATCTTTCGATGAAATATTTACCGAAATATCAAATTGTAACTGTTCATTTTTACTATCAGATGCAGAACAAGAAGCGGCAATCGATTCTACATCCGCACGTCCTTTCGACGCTACTTTAGATTCTTTTATTGGCGAATTGTACTTTTTCCTCGTGGAAGACAGCTCAGGGGAAGACTTTGCAAGACGTCTGCTTCGATGAAGCTTTTGTGGCTCTGCTGCTATAAGGCTTGCTCGCCTAGAATTACGATCGACCTGTCGAGTGTTAAGTAACGACGTTGCCTTGCTATCATTCAGATTATTCTCCCAAAACGTATCTATTTCCAAGCGTGGAATTGTACAGCCATGAGTGTCACTTTTGACCAGATGCGAATCTCTTGTATAATTATCGGAAGAATCATTTGTAGTATTTTCGTCTAATTTTCTTTTTTCATCTGCTCTTCTTGCTTCATGCAGCTGTAAATCAGACTGTGATGAATAAAGTTTTCGTTTTGAAGTAAGGTCGGTCGAAAGTCGCCGAGAAGAGACGAACGAGTCTTTATTCTCCGAGCAAATAACGCTTGTAGGACTTTCTCTTTGTTTTGTCGTGTTTAAAGAAGAGTCGACTCGAATAATCGGAGGCAAGCGAACGAGTCCGTGTCCTTCTCGATTAAAGTCAATTAGATGAGAAGAATCAGTTTCTTTTCCTTCGTCGTGATGTTGTGATTCGTTTGAGCCTTTTCGAATTGGAGGAAGCTTAGAATAAGACTGATCACCAAACGCAGACGCCATTGCAATTAAAAAAGTTCAAATGCCAAGCGATATATACGTTACACTTGTAGATGAGATCCGTTTCCTCGAGGCGAGTGTTAAAACGAACCTTTCAATGTGAGTATCCAATCGCCAATTCAATTCTTGTTATATGGTTTACATAAAATGAAGCTACTGCGTTGGTCGTCATGGTACGCTGTTGCAAGATGACAGACTACCTGACACAAGTTATACTCTCACTCACCCCTTGGGTATCAGTACTAGAATATTGAAGTCCATAATCTTGCATACATTATTTTTGTATATGGTACTAACAAACAAATCATTTCTCAAAGTCTAGTGCATTTTATATTCAAGTTGTACCGGATGTGCTTTATCATTGACGAAAGTGTTCAATAGAATACTAATGAGAAATTATTTTTGCGAAGAACTGTTTTCATTAAGGTCATCGCTTTTAATTTCCCCCCCAAAAAAATCCAGCATAAAATCCCATAAAGGAAATAGAAAGAAAAAGTCTCGTTATTGTGTGAATATGAAAAATGGCACTCAAATAAATGGAACCAGAGTGTTTCTTCATTGTATTGACATCACAAGGCTGACCATATAAGGACGCTCAGTCTCAAAACAAAAGAAAAACTTCTCATTCAAAGGCCATGCATCAAGTCAGTTATTCTGTCTTAATCACAAGTGTCTGAAGTGTACACCTCAAGAAATACTATATACTAATGGCAAGTGATAGACTCGTTGGGTAGATGTTAAGTGGACTGACTGATCTTATTCAGTAAAGATAGCCAGTTGGGCGAACTATTTCCATCCATCCATATTGCATTTCACACTAACTCACGTCAAATCACCGAGAGGCAGGTGACTCTAAAACACTAACAAATCGACAATAACTTAATGGTTTAGAGATTCAAAAAGTGAAAACTGAAAAAAAATCAGTATTTTTAGCATAAAAATATGCAAAAATGATTAATTGTGAGTTCAGTTCTCTCGGTGACGACCGAACACATCAACAGGAAACTAAACCAAATTTCGACGAAAACAAATGAAATAATTCAATATTATGCGATTGTATTTGTCGATGTAGTATGTATTTTGCTGAAGAAGTTAGTTTTCTCTGAGGTATTTTATTTGATGGTGTCCTGCTAGTAAGTATTTAGAGAATACAATAAGTCAAAAGAGCATAAATATGCTCTCTTGAATAAACATATAATGAGAAATGCCATAGGGCGGCAATCGTGATCCCTCGCGGTAGTAACTTACATAACAACAAGTTCTAAGGAGATCTTGCCTTTATAATAAACGATAAACAACATTGCATTCCCTTAAACCCGAAATCACTCGCTTTAATGTTAAAAAGCAATATTTTAATGATTTTATTTTAGCTAGTGTCTCATTTTTTGAGTCGAAGCAAAATTCTCGAGCAGTGTTGTTCATTGTTGGGGTTCTTTCCGTCTAACTGCGTGATCCAAAGATGATCAAAGATGGCCCAAAAATTATCTAGGTTGGAGACTAGGGTATATAGGCGCTAGTTTTTGATCAACATCAGCGGTCTAGCTCGTGTCCGCTCTACACAGTTGACATATAAAGCACAATTAAAGCGATCTCGGAGAATTTCTTTACAAAAGCCAGGGCATACTCCTCATGATAAAAAGATTAGAAGCTTTTAGAGCAAGCATGTTATCAGTTATTCTGGACAGGGCAAACCTCTATGATCTTTTTTATACTTCCAAAGGATATAAAGTCAATATTTTTGTGAATGAAAAAGTGGCCAACCGGTCTAAAAGGCGAAACCGTTGAAGATATGGTATAAATGCACCGTTAGATAGTGAAATTTGTCATTACATAATATGCTTGTATTGTAATATGATACGTGCTACATATCATCAGCTGCTCAAGTTTACTGTAACATTATATTCAAGCATATATTTCGTAAAAAAAGGTTTCAGAAAAAATAATATTTTATGGGGCAACTAAAAATATTGAAAGTATACTTGACGACTATAGGAAGAAATTCATTTTTGAGTTTAGTTATCATTCACGCTAAAAATGAGTAAAATAAGAGGGAGAGGCCAGGCCAAAACAGCTGAAATAAAAAGGAAATGATATCAAGAAAGCCAGGAAAAAAAGGGGAAAACCCACTCGTTTAATGATAGCAAGTTTTGCCGTATTCCCTGAAGCAAAATATTCAACTGTTGCAGTTGTGTTTTAATAACTTTGTTTCATTTATATACGGAATGAGCAGCTGAACAACTAATAGTGGTAGCATATTTATTTTGAATTACTTCATTTGCATAATGTGTATATCTAAAGGCGGATGGCTGTCTAGAAAGAGCGAGTCGTGCTATTCTACCATGCGGCCAATCCAAAGAAAAATTAATATTCCACCAACATATCTTCCTACGCTGACAATACGAGATATTCAAGAAGAGGAAGTGACACTTAATCAACATAATACACAGCTTTATTATATGTTTTAAGAGTGTATGTCGATCCTCAAGAAATAATACAGTCCAATCCACGCCACCGATTTACTCTTCCGATCGCGATCGATACCAAGCACTTCGTTCATAATCTTCTTAAGCTATTGTACTTTAGTACGTTAGGAGGTGTTGACAAGCAATAGCTTGATATTATTCACACTTAGCAATCCCGAAATGAATAAATGGCTCACCTTCTTTTCACTCAGTAAGAGATTCATGGCTCTTCTATTAAGACAACAACAGCTTTTGTAAAAATATTTAGGTTTGATCCGGCCTCCAAAATGTCAAATTTCTACTGAAGATTCTCCCCTCTGAAGCCTCATTCTCCTACCCTCCCCCCAAGTGAAAAACATAACTTCCCTAATCTAGATTTGTCTGATTATTCCATATCATTCTCCATTATCAAAAGATTTCCATCGTTCCTATTTTTTAATTTATGTCATTTTCCGTCTGTGTTTCATTTACATCGGTTTCTTTAATTCTTGTAAAATTTGTTTTTCAGAGGCCAGTCCACCGCTTTCTCCGTCTTCCCACGCTTAATGACGAACGCGAGGATGGGAAGAAATGAACTAAGAAAATAAGACTGAATACGAGTGAGAACGTATGGGCTAGATCTTGGTTTTCCCGGAGGCAATAAAGCCGATTGCGCTATCGAATGAGAGCGATAAAATTGTTTTTAGTTTTTTTCTCATTAATTTCCTTGTGTGCAGTCAAAACAAGTTCTCATTCAGGGAAATTATCGCACACACAGCAATTGAACTATACAAGTACACGTATTTCTTCCACTTTATGAAGGTTACAGAAAAGACATGTTTACGGCGTTTCTTTGTCATGATATAATAACAAATTGTTATTAGAGTCATTAGGGTCACTTGCTCTTAGCGGTATATATACTCAGAAAATGGGAGCCGAGCGGGTAAACAGTAGGTGTTTAGGCGCTTTTATTTTTTCCTTCCGCGATGGAGTAACTTCTCTAAAAACTATCATTGTATTTTTCTAGAATGTTTGATTGTTTTTCTTAATCTAAATGAAAAGGCAAAAAGACCAATAACTTGGGTTTTTAGACAAAAATATAAAATAAACATAGCGAAATATAAAAATGAAAATTTACGTATCTCGAGACTCAGCATGATTGGAGACTAAGCGGGTCCCCATTTTCCCACTCTATCATCCGATCCCCCTGGGGGGGTGGGGGTGGGGGCTAGATGTGTTTTTTCCCGTCTCGCCTGTGTTCGGTGGGCTGCCATTTAAGTGAGTGGACCGATTAACGACAAGCAATCCAGCAAAGATCTTAAATAAAACTTATAATCCTAGAGCATTAAGTATGGAATCCACCAAGGGATTACGAAAAGATATGAAATAGAATTAATCTAAGAAGTCCTTTTAGGATGTTACCAGTCTCCTAAGGAGCAAACATTACACGACTTGAATTTTGCTGTACACAACTTTATTCAAATATTATTTTACGAATTCCTTCGTTGCTCTGGGAAGTTAAATTCGCTAAATTAATAACCATATTTATTACTGAGGTCTTTGGAAATCCGCGACTTTCATGGAGACTGAAAGTGACACAGTTTTGAAGATTTTCTCGATTCTGATTAGCATGGCTAACATTTTCCGCAAGATCAGCTGGCCATGTCTAGTGAAAAATGTCAGTTCGCTGGCCATAAAATTATCGGAGAAACATTTCACAGTCTCTTGGACAAATCCATCTGAGAATTCATTAATATGGTGTACACATGGACCCAGGAGTTCTTAAACAGTGGGTTGCATGTTACGATTCTTGTTCCGCAAGAAGCGGTTGAGTAACTTCTCCAAAATATTATAGTATTGTTCTAGAATGTTTGATTGATGTGCGGGGGGAGAATCACATGTCTCATCCGTGTTAGGTGGGCTGCCATTTAAGTGAATGGACTGATTATAAACGAAAAGCAATCAAAGACCAAAAGAGCTTAAATAAAACTGATAAGCCTAAGAGCATTAAGTATAAATCCGCCAAGGGATCACTAAAATATATGAAATTAGAATCGATCTAAAAAGTCCATTGTGGAGATTGAGATTATTTGTTTTTCGTATAATTTTAGACTTGAATATAGAATTTCGCGTGCTGTGATTGGTCGAGCGACCAGTGATTGTGAGACGATAATCACAGCTGGARAGGTGATTATGAGGCTTTCCAAAGTTTGCCAGTTTGAAAGTAACACCAACTAAAACGTTTTTTCTTTTATCCTGAATTTCGTCTTCTCTCTGATATTCGAGTCTAAAATCATACTAAAACAATTATTCCCCTCAGGCTCAGTGATTATGGTGAATATTTATCTTGCCTCGGTAAATATTCCCCGATATTCACTTCGCCTTTGGCGAATAATTGTTAAATATGTAAACCCTGTGTGCTGGTTACCAGTCTCCTAAGGAGCAGACGTTACAGGGTTCGAATTTAGTCAAATATTATTTGCATAGTTTCATGATTTCTGTCCGCAAGCAGCTTTATAGAGTATAGAGGAAATGCAATTATATTTTATGCAATATTCCCATACAATTCCAAAAAAAATATTGAATTTTATATTTAACGTGCTTCTTGTGTGTCACGCATTGAGCTAGCTGAAATCTCCCATTAATAATAACATCCAGCTGTTCTTTAAATTCTGGGGTCCATTTTGACACAACTGCTTGATTTAAAGAGGTTGAGTCACGTGACCTCTTAGTGCAAGTCTTATCTATTAGGTTTGACTTAAACGAAATTCTAATGGCTGGGAGGGATGTAAAGCCCCTCAACCCACCTGCCACAAACTTTTCCTGTGTACATAGCTAACGATGCTGTGTATTTTAGTAAGTAAACAGGGGAATTTTAGTGTTTCAAATTTCAATATTCCGGACAGTTAAGCTAGTAATGATGACGAACCATATCTCTAATTGATTAAGATATCAAAAATTATTTATCTTTTTTTTTCTTTTGTTATGAGGGCCAATCAGCCCATACTATTATTGTATTGGTTGCTTAGTTGTTAATTAGAACTGAGTAGAACATTCGAGAACATTCTGTAACCTTCCACTTGAGTTATGTTCATGAAAACGTCTAGAGCCCTCTGATTCAGTACATTTACAAACCAAATTCTGGAATTATGTAATGATTGTATTTAGAAATATTGTAATGTCTATATTTAGAAATAAGTTAGGTATATAAGGAGTACAGCCAGAGCTCTGAGTTTAGCCTTCGTAAAGTAAAGTCTTCATTTAGTATATTGTCTACACTGTCTTTATAGCTGGTCGAGAGAACTCTATTATAGAAAAAGAAGAAGAGGAAGAAGAACAAGGGGACAAAAAAGCTCTGGAGGCAAGCTATTGAACTGTTTGTAATAGTTTAAAAGGTCAAGTTAGTTTAGACTAGGTTAGGTTTTGTCTAGTTTAGTCGTATTTTTGTATCTAACCTTAGTTTTGGTGTTATTAAAACACATTTGGCAACAATTCACTGGGTCCTACGTGTTTCCTTGAAGACAGACCAGAGGATCGTTCAAGCGTTGGTTCATTCTCCGAACCGCGACCGTAACATTATTTTTTTATTTGTAGCCAGATAATTTATGGCTTATAAACAAATAGCTATTCTACATTAACTATCTACCGGACTAGAAATAGGGTATTATGTCAGAAATCTTTCTCCCAAATAAAAATTCTTCATGCGGCCATCATTCATATTTAGTAAGCTTACATTATTTGGAAGTAAACCGATGTTTTTTGGTTGCTTCCCTACCATTTAAAGCCTTAAATGTCGAAAATAGGAACCAAAACTTGCAGATATTACAGCGAAGAAACAACACAGAATCTAGCTCGGAAACCTCGCCTTTGAAAACCACAGGGATCCCACGCAACCGACAATATAAGTTTGATAGTTTAATCGATTTATTTATTTACAATAATATTTAAACAGGATGCTTCTTCACTATTGTGATTTTCAAGAAGGTCCTGGAAAACCAATAATACGTAACAAAATTGAGTTATGAAAAAAATTGATGAGACGAATAATCATAATAAGACGAATATTTATGCAGAATATATAAAGACCCTTCAACAATAATGCTGTCTTATCAATGGGGGTCCTGCTAAAAATAAAAAAACTAAAAAAAAAAAACTAAAAATATAAAGATAGTCTCTAAAATAATAAAAATATAAATTAGATCATATATAATAAATTCATTTATAGTGTTCATCTAAAAGTTTTTTAAAATCCTTAAAATTTTTTATCCTTCTTATATCTATAGAAAGTTTATTGTATATTTTGGCAGCCATAAAGTAGAATCCTTTTCGAGCATATTYTGTCTYAAGACTTGGAAGTTTAATGCTAAGACAGTTGTTTCTTGTGTTCTGTGTATGTTGTTGGATCGTGAAGTAATTCTTGATTGTTCCACTCTTTCATGGCTTGATAAGATGTCTTTGTTTTCCCCAATTTGAGTCATTTCAGTGCGTGATGAATAGCTACTCTGTAGAAATGCCACTGCTAAATCCCATTTATTTTTATTTATTTATTTTTCATTTCAGTTAACACTTGGCAAACAAAACTGCTACTGTAGTTTCGCCGCGTTTATGACATTGAAAAAAAAGCCATTTGGCCTGGGGCAAGCATCCTAGTTTTTTTCAATCAATCAATCAGTTTATTCAATCTACCATTCTGGAAATATAGTGACAAGTATTTGAAATTGTATGAACAATAGTTATACAAATATGCAATAAAAGAAATAGTGATTGCAGATTTTATAATTGAATGTATATTTCACCTCCAGAAGGAAGACACCTAAAAAAGAAACCGCAGGCTTATAATCCTTGAGAGTGTCTCATATAAGCTTGGGTAATTCGCGATCGGCTTTTATCCTGTAGTTCCAACACTCACAGGATAAAAAAAACTATTTTCAAAGCTTGAAAAATATGTTAAAATTAATTTAGTAAAACTGTAAAGTTCGAAGTAAGTTCAAATATCCGCAAAATATGAATTCTCAAAAATGGCACCGCCAATTTTTTAATGAAAACATTCCTTGGAGGCTGATTTCTCACACTTTGCAAAAATCATATGTTGGCAGCGAGTTGAATTTATTTCCTTCAAACTTCGTAGTATTACTGATTACTGGTTTTAACGTGATTTTTCCAGCTATGATAATCAATAATTTTCTGTATATATGAAAATTATAATTACTCGATTAAGCTAAGCTCATTGCCATGGAAATTAGATGATTTCTAAACAATTTGGAATAAAAACCTATACGTATACAAATAAATAATAATAAAAAACTCATTTCTCATGAAAACAAGTAGTTTATTTAACACAGCGCTGAAAAAAAAAAATTGAACATTCGAAATATCATAAATTTTTCGTTTTCAAGGAAAATTAGTTTTGATGCGAGCCTGCTGATTTCCAGCGGTCATATTTCTTGGAGAATGCGCTGTAAAGCTATCCAATATGGCGGCTGACATGGTAAGTTGAAAAGAGAGTTTCTCTCGTAAATAATCCTTTCATAAGTTTTATTCCTTGTTGATTCACTTAAATAGAAATTCCTATAATAATCTTAGAGGGCTTGATTACATATTGAATTGATAAAAGAGGTGATTTATTAGATTTTTAAACTTTTATTCGAGAAATTTCTGACACCAGTTACAAAAAAATGTAAAAGATGTCAACATTTTGCAAAGAGAATGATATTTTAAGTTTTAAAATGATGTGAGTTTATTGATGAACTCAATGCATTTCAGGGAGATTAAATTATATCTCTAGACTCGAGAAGACTACTTTCCAAATGGCTGAAAGAAAAGCCATCAGAATAAACTACAAAATATAGGCTTAAGCTTACCTTTGAGCCTAAGCTTAATATATAGAGGTTATTAGTCGGCTAAGCATCTGATATGGCTGTGTATTTTTACGAGTCAAAGAGTATTTTGGCAAGCCTTTAGGTGAGCCAAAATACAAGTGACAAGTAAAAATGCAAAGCTGTATCGGATGCTTATTAGCCGACTGATAAGTTGTTTATCATTTAAATCTGCAAAGAAGTGCTCAAACTCTATCTATAGTAATACTAAACCTTATTGTACCCAGTGCAAGCAGATGAGAAGTGCTGATACAGTCTCATTTCAGGCACGTTTTTTGCAGAATTAAATGATAAACAATTTTGTCTAGTGTTGTATAACTTCTCGGCTGATCTTAAAGACAGCAAATGCCAATATTGTAGAATATTTTTTGTAGTTTTCTTTCACAAATATTTTTTTCCTCTAAGAATTATTTTTTCTTATTTCTTCATCTTTACTTTAAAAAAATAGCATGTTACCAATTCATTTACTTACTACATATATATATATATATAATCTCAGCATGAACTTATTAATGTTGAGGTAATGTTTGTTTGTATAGTACCAGCCTGTCAGAGATACAAGGATTGTTAGCAGAGCTGATTCAGATGATGATGATGATGATAATGATGAGGATGAGCTTGAGCTACTTAGAGCAGCAGCTCTTAAAACCATGTCCAGAAAAGTAAGCTAGCAGGGTTCATGCTATTCCTTACTGCGGTTTTTGATATTCTACAAACTCTGTAGTTGCTAGCTACCTCAAATTGCTGAAATTAGGTTTTTTGCTGCCACCAATCGAAAAGAATCAGTCGTTACCTTTTATATTTTGACTGGCAGTAGTAAAAACCAATTTCACAAGAAGCTGTTGAAATGTCGGAGTTGGCAGAATATTGAAAACGGCAGTAAATTCACTCCTTAAATTTAGTTTTAGTTATCAAGAGGCTTAAACACTGTCAAATGTTACCATATTTTATGCTTGAACACCTTGAAAACCCTTGAATTTATACTATAATGGCAAAGGGGTGATTGTATTAAAGATATAAGGAACTGGCTGATTAAAGGCAGACTCTTACTAAATGATGATAAAACTGAATTTCTAGTAATTGGAACTCGTCAACAATTAAATAAATTAAATCTGTCAGTACTTCATGTAGGTGATCATACGATTGATCCTTCTGTTAAAGTTAGGAACTTGGGAACTATTTTTGATGATTCAATTAGTATGGATGCTCATATAAATCAAGTTTATAAGGCTGCTTTCTATCATATTCACAATATTCACAGGATTTCAAAATACCTTTCTCAGGATTGCCTTAAAACATTAGTCCATGCTTTCGTTGCGTCCAGACTAGAATATTGTAATAGCTTGCTGTATGGCCTTCCTAAATATCAGATCACTAAGCTACAACGCGTACAAAACACTGCTGCCAGATTAATTACGAACACTAGAAAGTATGATCATATTACACCCGCTCTATATAATCTTCACTGGCTACCTGTTTTTTTAACGCATCTATTTTAARATTTTAATTATTACTTTTAAGGCTATATATAATATCTCGCCTAGCTATATTAGTAACTTAGTGTCTTTTAAGTCCTGTTCCGTTTATTCTCTCAGATCGAATAATTCATTATTTTTAGACCGTCCCAAGGGGCGTATGCTTTCTACATTAGGGGCTCGTTCTTTTTATGCTGCTGCCCCCACATTGTGGAACAGCCTTCCTATGAATATTCGGGAAATYAGATCACTTGGCGTTTTWAAAAAACAGCTTAAGAYATATCTTTTTATRTAGCTTACAATAGGTAATTTTTATCAATTCTAACATTGTTTTCTATTATAGTTTATTTTCCTTATACATATTATATTTATATATACATATATATCTTTTCCTTGTTAGTTTTTTATGGTAATATCTTATATTTATCATAAGTATTGTATATATATGTATATTCATATTTTATTAATTCATTCATGTAAAGTGCTTTTGATCATTTTAATGTTAAAAGGCGCTATAGTAAGTTAATAAATCATTATTATTAATTATTAATGGGCTCCAATGTTTCTTGTCACTCAAATGTTTTTGATAATCAATTGTGAGCTGGAATACGTGGTTTTATAAAGTATTTTGCGGTTATATAGGCATTTATAGAGGGTGAATATTGAAATGTAGTTAAAACGTCAGAGAACTTGCCTGAGTTAAGTTAGATGGTGTGTTTTTAGGATAAATCATTCTTGGTTATGCTGATTACATTTTTACTCACACATTTATTATTTCTTTTAGAAAAACTTTGCCAAGGATTCTACTTTAGGAGTACCGAGAGAAATTGATTTGAAAGATGATTCATTTGTAGAACAAGATGATGATGTATCATCCTCCAGCACAGAATACGAAGACATCTCTCTTAACAGCCCTGAACCTGAAAAAGATAAAAGGTTTGCTGAATCAAGTGAGGAGTCATCGGAAGAAAAAGATTTTGAAGATGATAGTTTTTCAAGTGAATGGGTAAATGAGACAGATAATGAAACAAAACAAATAGTTGGGAAAGAAAGACCTGGGGAAAAAATTGAAAGTTTGAGGATCACTGTTGATAATGAAGTAAAATCTACTGATAATGATGATGAAGATGAAAGTAATGATGAAGATGATGATAATGTTGAAGGTAATGATGATGATGATGATGTTAATAATGATGATGAAGAGGCTGTTGCAAGCTATAGTGATGAAGAAAATAGTAACTCAGAAAGAGATGAAGTGAATATGATCAATGAGGATGCTGTTGATTCAGAAACAGAGGAGATATCTCAAGAGGACAATCAAAATATATTAGAAGATGAAAATATTTCAGAAGAAGACAAAGAAGAAACCTCAATTGTCATATCTGAGGAAGAGGAGGAGCAAGAAGAGATGGATGATCAAGATGATGGTGAGGATGATGCTGATGATGACGAGGTCCAGGTTGAATCTGATATCAATGAGGAGGAGGAAATAACAGAACAAGAATTTACAAATCAGGAAAAGAATAATTACATCAAAAAAGTCATAGAAAATAATGGTGAAAAATTAAATGGTAAGGACAGTCTATCTCATGGAGAAGGAGAAAATGTTGATATTGGACAACAAGATAGTGCTTCTTTTCATGACTCCTCATCAAAATCAGCTAAGAAAATTTCAAAAAATCAAAAGGTTGAACATGATAATATTGGGGCTTCAAACAAAAGCTTGCTTGGTAAGCCAAAGGAAATTCCAAACAAAATTCTAGATAAAGAAAAGAGTGATAAAGAGTCCGCAACAAAATCTAGGAAAGATAAGGATAAAGAAACTGAAAACAAAACTAAAAAGTCAGATGAAAAAAACAAGCAAATTTCACAACCAATGGAAGAGGATTTACACACGGATCAGCTTAGTATCGGCAGCTCTGAATCTGGTGATGAGTTTCAGGAGGAAGTTGAAAGTAAGGTTGTAAAGTCTAAGGTGGAGTATCGAAGAATACCATCAAAAGAAAATAATCGTAGTGAAAAGAGACATTCTAAAACAGACAGCAGATCAAAGACACACTCAAGATCAAGATCACGGTCACCATCCAGGATACACGGCTATAGGGTTAATGATAGAAAATGGCAAAGAAGTATTTCTCCTGAAAGAAATGGGAGATTTATACAAAGAAGTCGAAGCAGACAAAGAAATGATAGAAGCCCTATAAAAAGTTATAGAAACATTAGACAAAGTAGAAGCAGAAGTCCTTTGAGGCATAGAAGTCCATTCAGGAGAAGAAACAGAAGCCCATCACTCTCAAGAAGAAGCAAAAGATTTTCTAGAAGAAGTTTAAGCCCCATAAGGAGCGGAAGCCACTCAAGAAGAAGTAGGAGTCCAACATTTAATCGTGGAAGAAGAAGTAGAAGTCCAGTGAGAAGAAGCAAGAGCCCATTACGAAGGAATACGAGAAGCAGAAGTCCGAGGAAGAGAAGCAATAGTCCCATCCAAACAACCAGGAGTTCTCCAAGGAGAAACATTAGTCCTTCTAAGAGAACGAGTAGACATCAAACGAGTGAGAGGGGAGCCAGACATCATGAAAAGGATAGTAAAGAGAGAAAAAAAGAAAGTATCAAATCTCGGCTTGGAAAAATGGACTTTAATAAATCATTTGATAAATCACCACTTCATGCTAGATCTTCACCTAGGGAAAAGTCACCCGTTAGGGACAAGTCACCTCCAAAAACAACTACGGAACCAGATATCCATCAAAACTCAGTAAAAGAGAAAATAAAAGAGAATAAAAAAGAAGACATTCAAAGTAAAAACGTTTTTGTTTCTAAAAAGAAAAAAGAAAGGACTGTGATTGATGAATCTGATGCAAGAAATCTTCTGAAGACAAAAACCACTCTTCCAAGTAAGAAAAAGGTTGTTGTTGTAAAGTCCAAGGAGAAGAAAAGTGCTGCTGAGCCTGAATTAGATCATGAAAAACAAGACAAGATAGCAAGCAAAAGTACAGGTATGGGGTACAAGGGAGAATCCAGGAATTTGTGAGAGGGTCCAAACATACACATATCAAAATTCGTTGGAACTTTTCGCAACCACTTACTTCTCTCCTTCCCCAGGGTTACAAATTACAAATACATTTCTATAGATTCTTGCCATCTTACCCGTGGCAAAACTAAATTCTAGGATAAAACAATCAATTGAACCTCAAGTAAGGGACCCCCTCCCCTCAACCCTCCCCCGACCCTCCCCGTGGTCCACCCACTGAGATAGAAAGATTATACATTTACTATTAGCTTTACTTGTGACAAATAGGTAAGGACTTCTTGTTTAGCTTCCAAACGTCCTTACTTCCCACATGGAGGAAGGTTACAATTTCCAAAAAGACCTTTTTACTGATTGAATTCTGTTGTTTTGATAAAGACATTATGAGATACCATGGAGCAACTATTGGAAATTTTATAGACTGCACCTCTGTTAGAATGTCTTGATATGCAACTTTATGCTTTTCAATAAGAGTACCAAAGTGATGACGTCACAAAATTGACAAGACAATTTTGGTGACATTATCAGAAACTGCTTGTAAAAGTATGTTATAGTGTGAAATTTCAGACCGAAGAAAGAAAAATGGCTGAGATGTAGGTAAATTAATGCGAAAATATCCCCATAGATTTTCTCTTATTTGAGGCTGGATCTAACATGATTTGATCCAGTCCAAAATGAGAGAAAATGTATAGGCCTTTTTGGAGCTTAATTACCCAGTATCTCCATTATTTTATAAAGCTTGGAACAGCCTTAAAGTTGGCAGAAATATAGGCAATGATTTGTTCTCTTTAAATATGAACATTTCGAAACTGAATTGAAATATTTGAAATTTGATGACGTCACACTTCGGTACTCTAGTCCCCTTAATTCCACAAGAAGCCCAACTTTCCTAATTTGCATTTCAAAATTTTTCCTGTTCACCTCATATCATATTAATTAATGTGTTTGGCAATGTTCCTCTCAGGTGATTTAAGGAAAATCATCAAGAAAATAGATGTTGAGGAGCCCACAAGTACCAAGGATTCAAAAGAAAAGGAACTTGATGAACGTATTGCTAGAATAAGGCAGAAAAACCTTGATATTTTAAGAAGAAACATGGAAATTCAAAAGGAAAAGGAACTTTTTGGTTGATATTTTTACTTGACACATGACTGGGGAAATGTTGAAGATGTTGCAGCCACATCTACGAAGTAGCAATGAATAGTCCTATTTCTTGTCGGTAAATACTGCTGTGATTCTTGAATGCATACAGGTTTAGCCTTGTTTAAGGCTCAGCAGCTGATTTGCCAAGTCAACTCTAATATAAACATTAATGGTACCAATGTTTTCAAATCTTTTAACAGTAGAGTGCATAGCATATATCTGTGAATAACTTTGTAAACAACTGCACAAATTTG